CAGGTACGATTTCTTTCAGGGCAAAAGAAATCCAGGGGAGGTTCCCAACTGTTTCTGTCCTACGAAAAAAGAAAAAAAAAAAAAAAAAACACACCACCTTTCTGCAGAACGTTTCCACACAGACAGAAAGGAAGTTGCTGAGATCTGCGGCCTCCACACTTACCGCACCGGGAGGAGCCTCGGTTCTCGTTGGCAAAGAAGGTCAAAACCTGCCGTGGCACCGACACCACTCGTTCCCTGTCCCCCAGTGGCACCACAGCCTCTGAGAAGCCCCAGGCCTCGCTGATCATGGAATCATAGACTGCTTTGGGTTGGAAGGGACCTTGAAGGCCATCCAGTGCCACCCCCTGCCCTGGGCAGGGCCACCTCCCACCAGCCCAGGTTGCTCCAAGCCCCGTCCAACCTGGCCTTGAACACCTCCAGGGATGGGGCAGCCACAGCTTCTCTGGAAAAAGCTGGAGCTTGAGCGTCTCAGAAAACCAGAAGAGAACTGGGGGGAATCAGTCCTGCTTAGAAAAATGGTTGGGCCCATGGAGAAGAGAGCTCAGGCTTTCTGTTTGCTGTGAGGACATCACGGCTGGGCCACTATCCCGTCCCCTTGCCCTGATTCACTCCGCAACGAGCCAGAGAGAGGAACCGGCCCTGGGTAAAACCATCAGTGCTTCCTCGGCCACGTCAAAGCATGGGGAGCCCCTTCCACCACAGGGTGACAGTGGTGGAAGACTCTGCCCCTGCCCAACTGTGAGCCCAGAGGGTCCAGAAAGCCCCTGTGGAGCCAACTCACCACAGGAGCCTGAGGGCCCGAATCCTGGAACTTGCTGCTCTCCTTGTGGAAGTTGTAGTTGGCCCCAGAGGCCTTGGCAACCTTCTCCATGATGAGCTCAGGCTCCACATCCTCATCCGCGCGAGCGTTGATGGTGACATGAGCCCCCTGAGCAGGGAGAAAGCCAGCACAGGAGTGAGAGGGTGACTCCAGAAGCCACCAAACCCACCACGTGGCTTTGATAGGTCCCGTTTACACTCCTGGAGCTCCCAAGGGAAGAAAAAGGGCTCAGGTGAAAAAAGGGAGGTCACCAGCCACTCTAAGACCACAGAATGGTGGGGGTTGGAAGAGACCTTGGGAGATCATCCAGTCCAACCCCCTGCCAAGGCAGGGTCACCCAGAGCAGGTTGCACAGGGTCACATCCAGGCAGGTTTTGAATCTCTCCAGAGAAGGAGACTCCCCCACCTCTCTGGGCAGCCTCTTCCAGTGCTCTGGCACCACCAAAGGAAAGAAGTTTTCCTCATGTTGAGACAGAATTCCCCGTGATCCAGTTTGTGCCCGTTGCCCCTTGTCCTGTCGCCGGGCACCACTGAGAAGAGTCTGGCCCCATCCCCTTCACCCCCACCCTTTAGATAGTGATAAGCACTGATGAGATCCCCTCTCAGTCTTCTCTTCTCCGGCTAAACAGACCCAGGGCTCTCAGTCTTTCCTCACAAGAGAGGTGCTCCAGTCCCTTGAACGTCTTCGTAGCCCTCTGCTGGACTCTCTCCAGTAGTTCCTTGTCTTTCTTCAACTGGGGAGCCCAGAACTGGACACAGTAGTCCAGCTGTGGCCTCACCAGAGCAGAGCAGAGGGGGAGGATGACCTCCCTCGACCTGCTGGCCCCGGTCTTTGGAGTGCGCCCCAGGACACCACTGTCCTTCTTGGCCACAAGGGCACGCTGCTGCCTCAGGGGCAACTTGTCCCCCAGATAGCTAACGCAACGCTGCGAAAGCCAACATCCCTTGGGGCAGAAAGAGGCTTGTTTCGCCCCATTTGTATGGCGAATCAGCACATCTGGGCTGTCCTACACCGCAGGAGGATGGAGTCCTTGGGACACCCCCCAGCCTCTCCTGGCCACAGTCCTGCCTCTGTGCCCCCCCAAAGAGCAGCATGAGCCACACAGGGTTCCCCAGCCCACCGATCCCGGGGGAGGACACAACAAAGAGAGGACCAAACCTTTAAGAAGTTCGCTACGGTGCTGACGTGGTTGGCACAGGCTCCTTTCCTCACGTCATTCACGCCTTCACCAGTCTGCAAAGAGAAACCATCAGCGCCCGCTCACCCCACCGTCCCACCGCCGGCAGGTTTTATAGCAGCAGCACCGTGGTCTGAGCCTGCAAATCGTCCACCGCTGGCCACGGCAAGGGCTTCGCCAGGGCTTACTGCGGGGGAAAAGAGCCCGCTCTGCAGCAAGCCCTGCCCAGGGGCACACGGCCAGCATCCTGCCCAGGGACAACGGTCACACCATGAGGGCTCCAGGCCCCTGCTGATCCTCCAGCGCTTCATTCAACCCATCGTATCATGGAAACACAGAGTGGTTTGGGTTGGAAGAGACCTTGAAGACCACCCAGTGCCACCCCCTGCCCTGGGCAGGGACACCTCCCACCAGCCCAGGTTGCTCCAAGCCCCGTCCAACCTGGCCTTGAACACCTCCAGGGATGGGGCAGCCACAGCTTCTCGGGGCAACCTGTCCCAGGGGCTCACCACCCACACAGCAAAGAATTTCTTCCTCATTATCTCATCTAAATCTCCTCTCAGTCTAAAACCATTCCCCCTCGTCCCACGGCTCCCCTCCCTGATGCAGAGTCCCTCCCCAGCTCTCCTGGAGCCCCTTTAGGCACTGGAAGGGGCTCTGAGCTCTCCCCTTTTTCGCCTTCTCTTCTCCAGGCTGAACCCCCCCACCTCTCCCAGCCTGTCCTCCCAGCAGAGGGGCTCCAGCCCTCCCAGCATCTCCAGGGCCTCCTCTGGCCCCGCTCCACCAGCTCCGTGTCCTTCTGCTGTTGGGACCCCCCGAGCTGGAGGCAGCACTGCAGGGGGGTCTCCCCAGAGCAGAGCGCAGCAGAGGGGAAAAAAAAAACCATCCTTGATGGGAACCACAACTCGAGAGAGAATGGAAGGGAGAGACAGCGATTTATTTCCACCAGGTCCCCACTCACCCAGTTGATGAGGACATATTTGGGCAGGCCAGAGTTAGGATCCTTCACCCTACAGAAGGCGTACATCACCTTCCCGCTGTTGAGCTCCTCCACCATCTCCTCCAGGCCACCATCTGCCCCAGGAGAGAAAGGAGAGGGTGTAAGACAAGGAGATCACATACACGTGGTGGGAACAGCCAAGCCGGCATCTTTATTTCCTGGAGATTATTCCTGTTAGATTTGGACTTGTCCTACACCAAGAGTATCTCAGACCCTTTGCGTTTGCCCTCCGTTACCAGCTCGTTTGTGCCGGAGTCAGGACTCAGCCCACTCTCACCCACACCCCCGTCCCCACCAGAGCTCCTCTTCCTCAGAGCTTCACCACCACAACCCCAACTCAACGCAAGGGAAGATCCCAGGTCCGTAACACCAGTCAAACCACGACAGAGAAGGGAAAGGCGGTGCCCACACGCCCCAGACTCATTTGAGGCAGCGACAAACTCTGCCCACGGGTCCCTACAGCAGGTCTCCGGTGAACACCACTGGGAAACATCTCGACGGGAGATGGGGAAAGTCCCACAGAGCGGTAGGGGAACCGGCTGTGCCGTGTTCCCCTCCCACCTCACAGCCCACAGCCGCGGCAAGCTCCGCTTCGGGAAAGGGGAAGGAGAGAAGAAAGTGAGAGGCCGGCGCAGGGTATGGAGGGGGAAACTCCTGCCCCGGGGTTTGGCTCAAGGGGGTTAAACCCCCCCCGGGGGTCCCTCCGGGCTGATCTCCGCAGGGACTGCTCCTCGCTGCCCCGCGAACCCTGGCATCCCTCCGCTAAAAGCATTATGCCAAAGAACTGCCAGAAAAAAAGGGGGAAAACCCCAACAAAACGCGCTCTCACATCAAAAAAAAAAAAATTCCCAGACTTCCTTCTATGTCGGTTTGTCCCAGTTCCTGAAATGCGGAAAACCAGTTACCAAACACCGGTGGCACAGCCGCGCCTGGTTTGCTCCCTTCTCTCCTTATGAAATATTGACGCTCCGGCTCTAAACTCGGCGCAGCGGCTTCCAAGTTTAAGGCTGGAAGTCCGAAACCGGTGGTGGGAACCTTCCCCGGACCCCGGGGGTCAATGTTTAACGCTACGGGCACGGGAGGAGTGGAGCTCTGCCGGGAGGTTTGGGTCGCGCTAACGGGGGAGCGGCAGAGTTACGTTGTGCCTAATTAAGGGGAAAAAGGAAAAAAAAAAAAAATTGTTTAAATTTTCCCTGCCAGGCTCACCTCCGGAGCCGGCCACGCGCAGGTCGTTGCTGTTGCCTTCATAGGTGAACAGAGCCCTAAAATAAAAGCCAAAGAGGAGTTTTTTTAGCCAACCCCAAGAGAAACGCTGCCCCCAAACCTCACACCTCCAGCAGCGTCTCCCCTCCGGACCCTCTGCAGTGCACCCCAAAAACTCCCCCGTGCCCACTCAGGGCGCCTGCACCATCCCCTCCCCCCCGACACCCCTCGATGGACACAGCTCCATAGGGCCCCCCACCCCACACACCTCCTGCCCCACATCCCAGACACCC